CAGGAATGAACATGGATAGCCTGGACTTTGTGGAAAGTCAGTTCCAGGGCTCCTTTAACCTGCACACTCTGTACATTCTCCCTTTGGGCTCATTAGATTGGCCACGTGCCATGCCTGTCAAATTCAACAGTAAAACTGGTCTTTAAATACACCCTGTTCTAAAAATAAAAGTTCTGAGACTAAGCGATGAACTACACTAAAGGAGTCAATGGTTTTTAAATAGTAAATTACTATTTTAAAACAGTATATTTTAGGGAATTCCCTGGCTGTCCAGTGGTTAGGACTCCGCGCTCTCCCTGCCGAGGGCCAGGATTTGATCCCTCCCTGGTCACGGAACTAGGATCCCACAAGCCATGTGGTGCAGCCAAAAAAACAAAAACAAAAAACAGTATATTTTAAAGCCAATGGTTTTTAAATAGTTATAAATTTTAACCAGTAAATAGCATATACTGGTGATAAGTATTTTAATGACCTCCTATTATCTTTCAAAACTCTTTGCAGTAAGTAGAACACGGTAGAACTTTTTTTTTTTTAAAGGGAAATTGAAGTGCCCAGATGGTAAGAGGTTCACACATTTAGACACAGTTAGTGAGACTGGAATAGAGCCAGGCAAACAATTGATATCTACTAGTGAGCAGGTGTTATCATGCTTTCCAAAGTATTCTAACTTACTATGGTTCACAGTTATGACAGAAACTAATTAGAATACTTCCTTTGAATTTATTAATTAACAACAGCAAAATTGAATCAGGAAGGCAAAAACAGTAAAGACACACTAAAACAGCTTAAGTTTCAAAATATTAAGCAGCATAAATGTGTCTTTACTGAACAGGACAGATTATTGGTTTCTCCAACCTCAAAACTATGAAGTTTTAAATCTAATTTCCAATAAATCTAAAGTATCAATATTTAGGGAAGTTTTGTGACATGTAATTGTCATATACCTCTGACAACATGACTCTAGTAATTGATTTAGTAAAACTACCTTAGCTACACTGGTAAGAATGGCAGCCTCACAACAATTTTTACTTAACTGGAATACTAATTGCTAACTTGAAAGACTGTTCAACAGCTAGAATCACAGCAGTGACTCAAAGCCAAATTGGAAAGAGAGCAATGAAAGTATTATCTATTCGAGAGAGGATGTGATGAGAAAATAAAGATACAATTCTGTACTTTCTGGCACTGAACCTTTTAGAGTTTATGGGTAAAAAGGGGTAAGATGTTGCAGAGACATAATCCATAATAACACAAGTAAAAAAATCAATTTAATGGTACATGTTAAGGATCCATAATGTACTTACTGATCTTTAACACTGATTACAGTAGTAACATAGTCTCTAATAGCAGCAGCCCACTACTTTTTCAACAGTCACATGCAATAGACCCTCCAATATAACAGGAAAGAACGTGTCATAACTACTCTCATATATCCAAGCATTTTGATACACATCACCATCTTAATTGAAAAGTACCCTCTAGGTATTTGTATGGACCTGTAAGACACTGTTTTGATCTCATTTGACTAATCCTATCCCTGCCCTTTAAGCACTTAAGATAAATGACAAAGATAAATATTAAGTGAATAAATTAAGATACGGTCATGCCTTTGCATAAATTAATGTATGCTCAGTCACTGCACAGAGGTAGAATTGGAGAATTGAGATCACTGAACTTAAAGCTTATGTTTTAGTTCATGCTTACGCTGTCACTCACTAGCTAGGTGACCCTGATAGTTAAGTCACAATCTTTCAAGGTCTCAATTTCCTCATAAAAAATGGAAATAAATCTATCTGAATTATCTACTTTTCTGAGTTACTGATAATATCAAATAAGAAAATGCATATTCAAATTGCTTTGGAAACTGCAAAGCATTATAAATATAAGGCATTTGGGTCACCTAATTTTTCCTACAGTATCTTTTTTTAATAGTATCTTTTAAATAGAGTTGACACTATATCTATCTGCTGAATTGAAACAAATAAAAAAATACAAGGAAAGGTAAATTTTTAAAACCATCATAACTAAAAAGAGTTCGTTGGTTGATGTTCTTAAATTCTAGAGCCTTTTCTATTGAATTTTGTGATTTAAAAGTATTTGTCCCGGGCTTCCCTGGTGGCGCAGTGGTTGAGAGTCCGCCTGCCGATGCAG